GTTGCTGCAGAAACAGGAGGTCCTTCACTCAGTGAAGAATAGATCTTCCTTTGTATTTTGCTATACTGACCATCTGTTTCTGCCATTTGTCAGAGACGTTGTGAAGTCTTGCAGAAACTCCTGGTATTCTTCTGGAGAAAGAGAGCAGATGTGAGAGTGGGGAGGCAAAGATGTGCAGGAGGAAAAAAGGAGTGGCCTCTTGAAGCGATACTGCTTGGTTTTTGGAGAGTCACAGAGAAGTCAGTTGAGGTGGAAATCAGCAGGAAGGACTTGGATGGGTGGTTTGCTTGTTTGTATCCCTGAAGGATGGATCTGAGTAGGGCAGTACAGGTTCAGATGTGGTTTTAATTCAGCTACTAGTTCTTTATGAGGACTTAAACTGTAATCTGTTATCAGTCGAGTAGGATTTGGAAAATGCTTAGTCAGTTTTTTGGGACACAGCGGTGATTCCAGGAGGTTTCAAGAAGGAGACGCTTAATTTTAGATGGAGTCCAGAGACAGAAAAGCTTAGGAAGCATACTTGGAAAGGCCAGAGAAATGGAGTGTGATTTGAAACCTGCCCTGAGAAAAGGGAAGGCTAAGACTAAGAATTCAACTGAATACCACTTTTCTGGAAGTCATCCATATGTGATTGTGCTAATGAGAGTTTTATGACACAAAAGTTGGATCCAAAGGGTCTGGTTTATAACACTTTTTTTTCTTTATGAAATTCTGCTCAGTGGGAAACTTTGAATTTTGGCCTTTTCATTTTAAAAGGAAATTCCAAGGCTTTGGACTTTGAAACAAAATAGGGTTTCCAAGGAGTACCCAGCTGGAGGAAGTTGTCTTTTCTCTAACAGCTTATATAAGTGGTACTGTTGGTGGATTTAGATTCATAGCCACAGGGAGATGGGGTTAGCTGTGTCTGCGTTGCCTATCGGCTTTGGTTTAGTGGCAGCTCCTAGATATATGAATATCAACAGTGATCTGTCTAACAAAGGAAAAAAAAGTACAGCAACTTCCTTTTATAGTCTTCCTGACAATACACTGGGCATCCTGCAGCTTCCTGCTGATGGTGTGTTCTCATACATTTCCTCTTCAGGATTAAATGCTGGCGAAAAGATTGATCTTGTTGTTGGATTGGTTGCTGTCTTGCCCTGAAGACTTGGGGGGTTTGGTTTATTTTTTCTATTTTGCTTTGTTGTTGGTTTACTTTTGGGTTGGTTTTTTTTTTTTAATTTTTAAATTATGTCTCTGTTTTAAATTGTCTTCTGTGTATATGGAAGATGTGTCAGTTTTCAGTTCAAATATGCCTCTGAATATGATCATGTGCCCTAATCTCGCTTTTTTACATATGTTAGTCACAAGCAACATATCCTCCTGTCAGGGGGTGTAACTTCTACACTTGAAAATCCATTGATAGTAATAAAAATAGTAAATATTTTTCTCTCTACTTGCATTTTTTTGTTGTTTTTCTAGCTTCAATCTAATGTCTAAATTGGCTTTTCTAATGTGAGATTGTGTATATATATATATTTAAATTCCGTTTATATATATATTTAAATTCAGTTTATATGGTAGAAATACAGAATGGAAAGAAAACTGTTCCATTCTGCTATAATTTTAATATTCTGCCATTAGATAATAAGACATAATTTCTGTCACAAATATACCAGTTTAGATTTCTGTGTAGATTGTAACCCAAACAGTGACAATATCAGGAAAGCTGAGGAGCAACAATAGTTCCCCAAACCCTTTGATTTGGCTATAAATCCTTTGAAATTTCTTCTTCTTCTCTGTTGTTTATAGTATCAACGAATCATTTTTGATTGATCCCCAACCCCTCATTTTACTAGGTGGATTTTTTGTAGGCATCTGTTGACCCTGGCTTGTTTAAATGGAAAAAGAAATTGTTGGTTTGTAATAACAATTCCGTTAATTTTTTTCTGTGGTCATCTGGACATAGTTGGTTCAAATTTGATTTAATCATATCTATGTATTTATATATATATACATAATAATATATATGCATCAAATAATTTTACAGTGTTAGGGCTTGAAAGTGAAGCTGGTTTAATTGGCAGCGGTGGCAATAGGAATGCAAGAAAATAACAAAACTGAGATCTTGACAGTAAGAACTAAATTCCTGGGTCTGAAGTGATTAAAGTTCTTTCTGTTAGAGCAAAAGCCAATAGATATTCTTTACATTTATAGTAGTCAAGGCCAGGAAATTTCAATGTCAGCTTTGAAACAAGAAAAAATCACTTTCTAAACCACTGACATGGATGAAAATATCCAGCGTCTGCAAGACTAATACAAACCCTTCTCCAGTTGTTTCCATCAGAGTATACTGGAACTGCAGCATGGCTAAAAATATTTTCATACGAGGAAATTAATCTTTGTCTGTGTTTCATCATTCTATTGCCACCACATATGGAATCCTTTGGTTAGATGTTTGTGTAGTCATGCTGATTGTAGGGGGCATGTTTAACTAGTAAGCTTGGCTACATAAGGAGACATCATTGGTTTTTTTCAGTTCAAATTGCCTAGATAATTGAATTAAATATGCAGTCGTTCTGATTTATGTTGCCAGCTATTGTGTTCAGTATGACAGTGCTGCAGGTTTGCCTAAGAACAGAAGCTCGTATCCTCACCCCTCAGAGTATGGGGAGCACACCTAAGGGGTACATGGAAAAATCCTAGTGAGATGTTGGAGTGCTGCTTATGAACATATATAGGTTTAGTTGAAACATATAGAAATATATTTCACTTTGGAGGCAGAGACTTGAAGGATATATCCTGGGATCGAATTTCTCCATGTCCTTGTCTCAGACTGATTTGTTTTAAGCAGCTCCCTGAAGTATGTACACTCTTCTGCATACCTGTTTTGCTGAAAGTACACAGACCTGGCACCATTGTGTTTGCCTGGCATTTTCTTATCTCCTGCAAGCATTCAAACAAAAGTGTTCTATTGCTCCCTGAGTAATCCATGGGTGATCTTAACATTGAGCAAAAGTCAGGGCAGGAACTTATGTTGAATTTTTTAGTGCAGGAGTGGACAGTCTCTGGAAGGAAGGGGGGTGGAGTAGGGAGAAGACAGCCACAACTCCAAATAAATAGTTGAAGGGTTGTAAGTGCGTCCATGTATGAAAACATTGCATAAGCATAAAAGTGCTGAAATGTTAGATAGTATAAACTGAGTTTCATAATATATCCTATGTTTTATAAAGCTGTTTGTATATAGGCTTTGATGTTAGTATTTTCTTATAGTAGAGCTTTCAAACCTATCTTGACCCAGTTTGTATTTGCATGCTACTTTTAATGTCCGGTTCTACAAGGCAAATTTGGCACATTTTTAAGCATATAGATAGTCTTATTGAGCAACAGGGCTTATTAAATACAATGTATAATACCGTGCCCTGTGTAGAGGGCATCTTTAAGTCTCTGTTGCAACAATTATATTTGGATGAGGGAGGGAGGGAAGTTTAAAAATACCGCAAATAATTAGTGGCAGATTTTTGCATATGCCCCCTACCCCAAAAGAAAACAAAAAATATGTTGCTTCCTAATCTGTTAACTGTTACATAGGCTGCTACATTGCTTTCTTGTAAGGGAAAAATAGAAAAAAAACCATATTATTTCTGAAAAAATATTTTTTGGTTTAGTCCTAAACGCTAGCTTTGTGCTGTGCTTAGAGATACAGTGTGACCTGCTTAGTTTAATCAAGGTCAACACTTTTTTGTTTATAATTTTCTTATACTGCAACTAAAACTATGTCTCAGGCCTGGAAAGGGGAAACATGATAAGTCCCAGACTCAGAGTGCTATCTCTAGATGGCAATCAGAAACACATGAGCTTGAATTATATTCTGTAGTCTTTAGCTGTATACAGAATTTCTCTGTGACTGTTAAGGACATGGATTTATAGGACAAAAATTAACTTGCTGCAGGGTCTCTATCTCTGATCAGTGTTGCAATTTCTAGATTAATCTCACCTGGGGAGTCATTCAGCTTATTGTACAAGTGCACTCACACACCACATACACACACACACGAAGCCCATTACTGAAAAAGGGTACAAATTAATGACGTGCAAAGTAGGAAAAGACTGGTGTAGTATGATAAAGATTATTCAATGCCATTGCATATATTCTAATGCAATATTCTAAATATCAAGATCTGGATGAGGAAAATTGGATTTATATAGCTTTTAAATGAATGGTCACTGTGCTTGCAAAAATATGTAAGAGGAAGGCTGAAAAGCACTATTTGAAAAATAAATCTTTGTATTTGCAGTTTTTCAATAGTTAGTACAAATATTTCCTGTGCCTTTTGAAATGTTTCTATAGCAAGTGAGGGGGTCAGGGTTCCATTTCTATATGTGTGTACCTCTTAATGATTTTTTTTTTTTAAATCCAGGTTAGGTAGTAGAAATCACTCTATTTGAGCTGTTCCACTGAGGGTTTTTGATGCTGAAAAAAATACAGTATGTGTGTGGCGCCAGAAATGGTTGGGAACAGGAAAGGCATATTTTGTATCCATGCTAAATGTGTCGGCTTAGTGCATAGAAGACTTGACCCTTGTCAGGTGTTTTGAAGTTAACTGGCTGACTTATGGATTAATGAGTTTAAGACTGAAGTCAACCAGCGACAGGAATGAGCTTTGTGTGAGTGTGTGTGTGTGGCTATGGTGCAGATTTACAAATTTTTATAATGCTTTCAGCTGGACCATGAAAGTCTGATGTAAAGCTTATCTCTGATCTCTGACTATGGCCATACTTGTGGGATCATGTTTGTGTGTTTGGGGGGAGGGAGATGAATTCTTTAACACTTGACACCTGGCTCTGCCAGGTTTCTAGCTATACTATACTGCACCATTCAAGGCATTAATAAACTTAAAACTTTAAGCTGTATGACCAGTAGATCATAAAAAACTGTTGCTGAGTATTGTGACCAGCTTTCTTTCACAGCTGGATTATCATCCTGAACAAATAACTCTTTTTTCTTTTCTCTTTTTTTATAGCTGTTGTGAACTTGGACAACTCTGTGGTTGACCTAGAGACGCTGCAAGCCCTGTATGAGAATGTGAGTAATCAGAGGAAGTCCATAAAATGTAGGAATACTGTGTGTCCATGGGAAGATATTTTTACTTGGAATCAATAATATTCAGAAAGCTTGTAGAAGTCGTCCTATTTTGGAGTGACCTAATTTTCCCCAAAAGCAATGAAAATGCCAAGTGTTTAAATTGCATTTATTGCCATTGTGTGTTTTATGAAGTGCATGTATTTCTACATAAGTAACATGATCAACTTCTAAATGACTAAACAGACATTAGTTAGCTCCTTTTTTTGCTTCTTGGGTGTGGCAGTCTTTGATCAATAATACCAAACTTTATGCTCCACACCTTTGACTTCACTTTGTAATTTCACTAATATAAAAATACTGCTAAACTAAAAAAAAAAAAAAAAGTTTTGATAACAGAAATCATTCTCTTTATGGAACTGGAACACTTAATTATTGTTGTTTCAGGGATTGCTCCAAAATAATTTTACTTCTTTGATATGAAAATAATCTCTCTAAGATAATGTAATAAAAAGTAGTATAAACTTCCAGGGGCTTTCTAAATGTCTGATAGTAATAATCAGATAGATTTGGCCTTTAGGTATGTAAAATCAGGGATCCAGAATATGCTCAAGCATGTTCTACAACTTGACAAAGCCTGTCACATAAAAAATTCAAAATGGTGTGTTAGGAGCGTGTTTCTGCCTTCAGCTGAGGCCAGTGAACATTACCCTGTCTGTGAGTGCAGTGCCCGCATATGTGGAGGTCTGGCTAGACATCTCTTGAAAGAGTGAGGAGGCTTTCTCTTTGCCCTCCAAAGAACTTTGAAATATGAGATGTAAAGCTGTGAGCCACAGAATGGCATTGAAGACCAGTGTATGGTATTGTACTAGATCCTTAACTTCCCTCATGTAGTTTGATAATGTTAATTAATTTAACACCTTTCAGATGTTTGGCTTTTAGACTTCAGCTGTTAGTCATCTGCTTTGGAATGATTTGATGGTTTATGAAGTCCCTCTAAATAATCCACTTCGAGGTGCAAAAAAGAGAGATAGTAAGCTCTAGTCCACTTTACAGAAAAACTGAGGAGCTAAACAAAACAGAAAAAAAACCCAAAGTCTGACAAGAGCTAGAAAGGACTTGTACTATTCCTCTCTGAAGAACTAGGTTAACCAACACAGCTCAGGAAGATAATGGTCAAAAGAAAAACCTATTCTAACAACATTCCAAATCTCTATGAACACTTTTCTTCTTTGCTCCACAGCATTTCTGTTTTGGCCTATGGTATTTTACTTTAAATTCCTTTTAATCTGCTTCCTTACACAGCACATATATATTCCATACCATACAGTTTTTAGCATGCAAAAAATTTGAATTAATTTTATAAGTTACATATGTGTGAATGTGAGAGATTTTCTTGTGGGAAGTATGGAATAGATACTGCAGTCATAATCAGTTTTTGCATACTTTTCTTTCTTATTGTGAACAAAATTTTTCTTTTTCATGTTGGTTTGAAAATATATTCCTCTTATGTTGATAATGTACTAAAACTTTTCAAATGTTTACTAAATGTCATCTCTAATATACTTCAGAATCCGAATATAATGGATTATTTGCAAATTTGCAGTTCATTAAAATAACCAAATGTCATTGTGTCCATTTTGTAATTACCTTCACTTATTACAGAAAATGTCTAGGAAATGTCCTGATTAAGGAAAACACCATGTGTAAATCTCAGGAAAGACTAAAATTTTTGAATGTCTAATATTTTTCTTTGCTTTGAATAGAAAACAGACCAGTCCAACTTTATTATATTTGCTTGGGTAGAAGACAGAAAAAAAAACCAAAACCACAACCAAAAACCAAACAGATTACAAGAAAAGTCCTCCGTTTACTTGGATAGGATTTTATAAGGGAACCTGAATTTTAATCCTGGATCTTCTTTTTAATGAAACTCTGTCTTGAAAGAAGCTTTCTTTTTAGTTGACTTTTGTTTTCTTTTTTTCCTTTCAGCCTTTTGTCAAAACACTTTAGACCTTGCATTTTCTTTCCTTGCTAGCTTCACTAATTATAACAATATTGTTCAATAACTGTTGTAAGTAATGGGTGGTACCAGAGAGCCTGGCATGTTTGATTCCTCCCCTATTTCTCAATCTCATCCTGTGTTGTAAGTGGGAATAACTTTGCAGTATTTACTTCGTAGCCATTAACTTAATTTTTAGTTCTTAGGGGTTTTTTATTGGATTGAGATTTTTTTTGCTGGATATTTAAATACCACTGTACTAGTCCTCAGTCTTCCTATTTGATCTGTATGGAACATATGGGAGCATTTGTTTTACAGTCTTCCTTCAGAATGTAATCATTTTTTCTGATTGCATGTGTCTGGCTTAGTGCTTTCCCTTCTTAAATGTGAATGAAATTTGGGCAGTCTCCAAACCTAAACACACCCTAATTTCAAAAGCCACGGTCGTGAGGGTTCAATTCCTGTTTACTGAGGAATTAAACTCCTGTTAAACCACAGAGATATTGTATATATCTTAGTGACTTTTTACAAACTAAGCCCACACCCCACCAAAGACCCAAGCCCTCAATAATTTATTTAATATTATTAAGTAGAATTATATTAAGTGAGAAAGACTGTGTTAATGCAGCATTGTACTGTACAGTCAAATAGCTCTTAGGTTTTTTTAGGTAGTTTGCTTTGTGAAGAGTTGTTTAAATACGTGTTGATAATTAATTATGTTTCAATATCTAGACAGTTTTAATAGGAGACTCTTTGTAGATGAAACTACATGTGGAAGTGTTACTTAAATATGCTTTTCCAAATTCTCTAATAACAATGCAATCAGGTGATAGCTATAATTAGAGAGAAGGCAGGTAAAATTCATTCAAGTTGCTGTAGGGTGTTAGGACATATTGGTTGTGATGAGAAATGTAGCAACTGGCAAATCAGTGAATGTTTCCTTTGCAAACAGATTGCCTCTTAGCAGCTGGGGTTGTAGCTTAAGTATCACTGAGACAAGGTATGTCTGCTTCTGCTTGCATCTTTGCTATATCATGAAAACAGTTGTATAAAAATGGATTAAAAATGCAATCGAAAAATTTATTATCTTTCATCTATGAATTTTCCCTTTTTACATCACAAAAAAAATGTATAATTTCATAATTAGGTTGCCAGTAAATTGACCACACTGGCTTTATCTTTAAAAGACTTAGGTCAATGCTTTCAAATACCTCAAAATGCCTTTACAGAAGAGAAAGGGCATCCAGAAGTCTGAGTGCCGTTAAGATTCAAACTTTCTCCTCAATTATTTCTTGTGATTTGTTTTTTCTTATTTTAAACTAGCAATTACAATGCAATTACAATGTGTTTTTTTTTTTTTTTTTTTTTTTTTTTTTGGCAAAGCCTATAAATTGTACTTGAGTTCTGATGATCCAGCTTGAAAATAATATGATATTTATTATTAACCAGGGTATCTCTGTATATCCTTGTTTCATCTACTGTTGACAAAATTTCTTAGACAACTCACTCAATGGTTTTGAAATATATAACACAAACTTTTAAAGTCAAGTTTGCAAAAAATAAAATTCCATACATTTAAACTGATCTCAACTCAGAGCTAAGATTCTGTTGTAAGGAAAGAAAAAGCTAACCAGGAAATGTATAAGATTTATGTTGTGAGATGGAAAAAGGGCCCTTATGAATTTTGGTAAGAGCAAGTACAGGCTAAACTCATACTCTGGAAAAAAATGGGAAAAGAATTAAACTGAAGTAGAATATTTTTGCAGTAATTTAATTCAGATTTATGCTGTCTGATTTTAGATATTGTTAATATCAAATTCTAGTACATTATTATTTTTTCCACTTCTGATGCTATATATCTATATCTAGCTAAAATTCAAGGAAAGAAAGAGCAGTGACATTTAAATAGGTGCTAATGCAATCAGGTTAATGACTTTTATGAGAAGTATTTATTGAATGTGTTCTCTCAAAACAAATTTGGAGGCCAGTATAAAAGCTTTTTTAAAAAATATCCATCTGTAAATTGGAGAACAAATAGGCATTTTTTAAAAAAGAACGCTGGTAAAATTCTGAGACATTATCTTTGATAATACTTATGCAATAGACACAGTATTCCTTTTCTGTCAGAATTTAAAGTACCCATCAATCACAATTCTGGATACCTGAGCCATAATTAGTGACTTGAAATTCAGGTTTGATTCTGAGCTTGGATTGTATACTTCAACTTCTTGATTTTGGTGAAGGGTGTAAACTTTCTCTGTTGAGTTTTGCTCTGGCCTGCCCGTGAGTGGATCATGCTCAGCCTTTGTATCTCTGACAGTTGTTACTTCTTTGCATACACAACCTGAGAGTAATAGCTTAAATAAGGAATAGGGAGTCTGCCTAACCTTTGCCCGTGGGATTTGGTGGAGAAATATTGAGAGCTTGAACATGCATGTATGTGATAGATTGCTGTGATAAGCACTCTAATATTTCAGTCTGTGTAGAAGGCCGGGAGAGAGAAAGATCTGAGTATTTATTCTAAAATATTTGCAAATAACCATTTAGTTTTATGCTCCATGCTAAAATACTTACTTCTCTTTAACTGTTATGAAAAAAATGTCAAGCGATCTTCCTTCAGTTTAACAGAAGTGAAGATAATTTAAAGACTGGTCAGAAATAATGGAACTTAATTTGAGTTGTTAGTATGCGAACTTGTTTACTTTTACAAAAAGCTAAATTTTTTTTCAAAAATTTACAAGTGTAAATTGAATAAATGAACTTTTTGAAATGTAAGTTGAATAAATAAAATAGCTTTTCCTATAGTCACGTCATTTGCACACCTAGACCTGTGTGGCTCTGATGACGTGACTACTGGAACAATGCTACCCTTCCAGCTTCTAAAATCTGTAGATTTCACCTGTTTCCAAGAGAGTTCTTATTGATTTGATAAGTGATGGAAACTTCCTTTTCTTTTAACTCTCACCTGGGTAAGAGTGTTCTAGATTAAGTGTGGCCATGTCCCATTTACATCAACATTTTTAACACAAAACCAAACCCAAGCCTTCTCTGCAACAGCACACGCAATATTTAAGTTAATACTTCTGCAGTTAGTTGTCTTTTTCTAGTCCTCATCCTGTCTCTGGAAGAGTCTTCTAAGATAGGATTAAAAATGGATTAAATTTTCTGATCCAAGTATCTTGGAAACATTCTTCTTCTCAGGATAGCATTATACAAAAAACAATTGCTACAGTAATTGTATTCACAGAGCCTATGTCTGCCTTGACTTTATGCAGAAAAGTACTTTTAGAGGATGAATCCCCAAGTTTCTTTCCTCACACTGAAGTAAAACTGAGGTAGGGAATTCACGTAACTAAGTGTTATGAATGGGCCACTGCCAGTATTCTAAAATTAAAAACTGGTGAATAAGCTTCAGCCTAGCCCTTGTTAGCTGAGAAAGGCCTGATGCCACGTAAACAAGCAGATAAAGGGAGGCCCAAACAGGTCAAGGGAAGTGACCTGCTCAGCACTAGAGGGACCATGCTTAGGGTGCTGTGTGCAGGTGTGGCCTCTCCTGGGCAAAAGGCAGTGACATATTGGAGCAAGGCTAGCACAAAGCAACGGTGATGGTTAAAGACTTGGAGAAGTGTTATACAAGGAGAGGCTGAGAGACAGCTGGGGTTGCTCAGTCTGGAAAAGAAAAAGCTCAGAGGAATCTTACCAGTGTGTACAAATATCTGACTGGGGAGGGGGAGTAAAGAACACAGATCTAGACCCAGGATGCCCAGCATAAGGACAAGACATAGTGGGCCTCCTGACTATGTCACTGACTTTAAAACACTGGAACAGGCTGCCTAGAGAAGTCATCAGGTCTCCATCCTTGGGGATATTCAAAACCTGGCAGGACATGGTACTGAGCAAGCTTTTCTTGCTGCCTCTGCTTTGTGTCAGTGTTCATCTAGACAGTCTCCAGGGGTCCCTTCAAACCTCAGCTATTCTAATAATCTTTGATATAAGTACTGCCACGAATTTAATTTCTTAGTGTCCAGAACAAAGTTTATTACTGGACAAAAAATATTTTTGCAATATTTCCAATCTGTTGAAGTGTTTACTATATAAGATCAGATGACTTTAGAGATGACCTTTGAAGAACATCCACAGAAATGCTGACTAAATACTAGGATTTGTGACATCATAGACAGTTGGCTTTGCAGTCATTTCCAGGCTTCTTTAAGTAATGAGAAACTTTGAAGGGCTTTTGCTATATGACTCTTCAATCTCTTCATCTTTCTATTTCACATCAGTATTTTCAGCCTTTTCATATGGGAAGTTGTTCAACAATCTCAGAAAAAGTGTCCAAACCCAAATTTCTGGTTTCATGTTCCTGATGGAGCAGACATTATGATTTGAAACAGCTCTATCCCTCTTCTGCTAACCCTGCAAAAGCGTTCAAGAGAGAATGCAGGTGCAGCATATCTTACACTTTGCCATTATCTGAATGATTAGAACATAATATTCCACTGTTGTCTTCAAGTTCTGTGGTGGAGAAAGTTAAAAAATGAGTATAATTTTTTTTTTTTTTTTAAGGAATAAAGGTAGATACACTTTTTTTTTTTTTTAATTCTTGGGCAGTTTAATGTTTTGGATCTCTCTTGGAAACTGTTATAATTGTCCAAAGAATGATCAGAAGGAGAAATTTTCTTTCCACTTTTATTCCTTTCCCTGCCATTCCATTTACCAGTACTACTGTTTGGAAAAAAATTTTACCATAGCTTGGAGCACACAAAAATCTGAGGCTCAGTTTCTATTGATTGGAATATTGAAGGAGAGATTTCACAGTTTGCCACAGAGCTCTTCAAGAAGCTAGGCAGTTTATATGTACTTTTTTTTTTTTGCTTATTAAGATAAAAATGAAATTCATTTTACTTCAAAGAATTATGCAGTAGTTCTCATGTATTATATGTATGATAGTTCCATTACAAATCAAATATGGGTTTTTTCCTAAGTGTTTTTTCAAATCCCAAATAACATTTAAACTGCAGTAAACAACACAAAAAAGTTTTCATTTATTTTAAAAAAAGTATTATTTAAATACATATTTAAAGATCCGATCACATTCAAATGTAACCCAACAAATTTGTGAAGAGAAATATAACTCTCCTCTTGAGTCCTTCAATTCAAACCCTTTGTAAATGAGCAAAGAAGAGGAATTGGGAATGGACGTCATTGTCTCAGTGCATCATTGAATGAGTCGATACTTTGCAGACTGCTAGTAGTCAATATTATGATTTGTAAGATATTCTATTCTCCATCAGATCTAGTTAAACATTGTGGACTATATACTTTGTGGACTCTAATAGTTTTTTCTATAAGCAGATGCTAGAAATAAAAGAAAAATATATGAATTTGATTTGTTACAAAGGAATATTTATCTCTGTTGTTTGACTAGTCACAACCATTTTTTGTTATTTTTTTTCCTTTTTTTCAGAGAGCACAATCAGATGAACTGGAAAAAATAGAAAAGCATAGCAAGGCATCCAAGGAAAAAGAAAATGCCAAGTCTTTGGATAAGCCAGAACAGTAAGAACATACTTATGATAGAGCAGTTTTGCTCACTTCAGAAAACTTTCTCTGCTGTAGTAAAATACGTATAAAAAACCCCGCAAGCCTGTACCTACTGACAGTGCCTCAAACAATTTTTTTAAATCTTCAGGTTCCTCTATGAGCTCTCACTGATTCCCAACTTCTCAGAACGTGTGTTTTGCATCCTGTTCCAATCAACATTTTCAGAAAGCATTGGCTCAATCCGTCGCAAACTTGAATTGTTACAGAAACTCTGTGAGGTGCGTTGTGCTCTGTGAAAAAATAGATCTAAATTTCTGAGTTTTAATCTTGTTAAGCTTTACTCATATTTCAAAAATTTTCACTTTATTACTCAGGTAATTTAAATATTTAAAATCTGAAGGATAGCAGAATAGCACATTTTATGATTGTATTTTAACATCAAAGTGAATTTTAAGATTATCTTTTGCTACTAAATTATATAATGCTTTTTCCATCAGTGTGTATCAGTCTCTGGAAAACAGTGCACCTTCTCCTTTTGTTAAAACAAAATCTTCTCTCTTTACAGTCACCATTACCACTCTTTTTCAACGGAATGCCAGTTCAGCTATCCTTGTGTTGAGAAATGTGCAACTTCGTAATATCTCTGGTATCTAGATGTAGCAATGTTGTATCTAGTCAGAAGAGATTGCTGGAATTTTGCAGTCCCATGAAAAACAAATACATAGCTTTAAAATGCAGGTTTAATCAGTATTTTAATGACTTAAAACCATTTCAACTGCTTTATGTTTTACTATGCAATATCTTTTATTTGATTAAAATTTTTAATTGTTCAATCTGAGTGTTTTATGAACTTGTTGATAAATTTTCTCTGAAATTAAATATGCCATTCACAATGTCAGTATCAGTTGATTACTATTTTGTTTTTCTTAACAGATCATGTCTGGTAATACTGTACAGATTTTCTCTTATTTTTTTCTAAGTATCCATTTTGGAGATAACATTCTCCATTCATATAAAATTGCATATTAACATTTTTCTACTTCTGCGTCTTGCAGTAGAAGGTAACTTCCTTTATCTGAGTCTTTATACAAGTACTATTTCTAACACAGCATCAACAAATCTGCTCATTAACCATAAACATTAATGGAACTTGGAACAGAATTTTTTTTTCTCTGTATTTTAGACATTGAAGAATGAATCAGGAGTTATGAGGGTTCTGGGTTTGGTTCTTGCCTTTGGAAATTACATGAATGGTGGAAACAGGACACGAGGACAGGCTGATGGGTTTGGACTAGATATCCTGCCAAAACTGAAAGATGTCAAGAGCAGTGTAAGTTATTCGAGACTTCCTGAAGGCCTGAGAAGGTTAAATTCTCTGAAAATTACTTTGTTTCTGAGTGAATGGTGTGGAGCTTAGGAAGGCATGTACAAGGGACTTCTTTTGTTACTATGCTTATCTGATCACACTTCTAGAGCTGGATGCATTTCTGTAGTATTATGAAAATTAATAATCTCTTTTCACTACTGTACAAACAAAAAATACTTAAAATTATGTTTTAGTTCTTAGTCTGATATACGTTTGACTTTCAGCACACTTCATAGTTCCAACTTCTGTTGTAATTAGAAGCAATACTATGATCTTACTGTTAAAAGTTTATTACGGAAGTGGAAGGAGTTCCATGCTGATTCAAAATATTTGTGAAGGGAAAAATGTCACTCCTGAAAATGATTGAATAGGCATCCAGAGCATTTGGGATAACCCAAAATTCATTCTTTATGAACACCATGATTACACAGTTTGTATTTGACATTGGAACATGCAGCTACCTGGGTAAAAGACTTCTTGATTCAAGATTTGTCTAGTGTAGTCATCTCAGGAAAGAGAATAAGTAGTGTTTTTTTCTTTCTCAGTGCTAAACTGTAATTTGTGTGTTACCAGCACTTTTTGTCTTAGGTTAATCAGTTTGGGGTTGCATTTAAATACCTGATTTTGTTTACAAGGAAACAATCTTAGAGTTTCTATGGCTAATGAAAAACCTTATCTCAATGTGACAGATTATAGCAATAACTCTTGAGCCTTAAAATTTGTTGCTGTCTGGCGAGTCACTGTCAAGATCTTCAGTTCTGCAAAGGCAGAAAAAAGAGTTGGTTTCCCTTCTTGGTCCCTCACTAAATATACATTTTTTAGCTGCTGGATTAGGTCATGTGAGCAGAGCTTTAACCCTGGGTTGAGAGAGCATGTCAGCCATTTGCCTTGTTAAAGCTTGTTAAATGGGCGGAGGAACTTCCTTCTTGCATGCTGATTTCTTTGGAAAACCAAGGGGGCAGTGATGTGAATGGAACTTCAGTACAACACGTTTAGAGCAGCTTACTCTAGCTGCACCTTCAAATTGACTCTAGAGCCAAGACATCACCAGTTTTAGAGCTCTGATCAGTAGGAAATTTAGGCACACTAAATTTAGTTCGGTAACTCAAGACTCCAGTACATAATTTGCTGGAAATATTATGACTATTAAGCTTTCAGTTGCAAGATACATTTTCAGTTTGTGACTGATCAGTCAGGAAAATTCTTACAAAATCCTTTTCTGAAAATATTTCTGAAAATATCTGAAAATTTAATTCTGTCAGAAATTCTCTTCAAATGGAATATTCTTTGCTGAAGTTTCATTAGAGGTATTACAGAGGAGAAGCAATTAAAAAGCTCCCTCAACCCCCAATGCTCCCCAGCCCCCCAAATTCCATTTTTCAGAATAACTTTCTTTGTTTAATTTAACTTTGCTTTGGTTATATTTGTAGTGTTGCAAAAGAACTTGTATATACATGAACCCAGAAACAATTTCTCTTTTCCTTCTTGGGAAATTTCAGAACGTGAGGGTGTGGTTTGCAATAAGGTAGCATTAAAAAAATCAGGAGTGTGTTACATGAGTGTTTTTTCTTTCTTTGTTTTATTTAATGATTAAATGGAACTTCAGGGTATGGGGTTTTTTTTTGGTTTTTTTTTGGTTTTTTTTTTTTTTTGTTTGGGTGGTTTTTTTTGTATGTTTTGAGTTTTGGGTTGGTTTTTTTTTTTTCTTTTTTTTTTTTTTTTTTTTTTTTAGTGAAGGGACCAAACCAACAAAGTATTTTTTATACATGAAATATTTTATTTATCGGAATTATCTTTTCTGATTTTTTTTTCTGTGAGTTTCAGTAACACAGCAAACTATCCTTTTCTATACAGGACAACAGCAGAAGTCTTCTATCGTACATTGTCTCATATTATTTGCGTAATTTTGATGAGGTGAGTGAAAATTAAAATTACCTCTTTTAAATTCAGATTAAACAACCCAACTTACTAAATTTGTTCTTCTGCTAGTAAGATGCAGAAATATGTACAAATATTCTCTGTGCTTTCAGTTATATATTTTAATATAGAAGAAAAATAATGAGCACTAGGTAACTGTTAATTTCTTTTATTGTCAGGATGCAGGAAGAGAACAATGCATCTTTCCTCTTCCGGACCCACAAGATCTCTTCCAGGCTTCACAACTGAAGTTTGATGATTTTCAAAAAGATCTCCGCAAAATGAAGAAAGATTTGCGAGGTACTGAACCAAGATTAAATGATAATTTTGTGTTACTATTATATCTCTTCTATTCTTGTTTGTATTATTTTGAGAAATTAGATGATACAGTAAAAATAATTGTGTATTTTTAACTTCTCAATTATTAGTTTGCTTCTTTAGTTTGCTTTTCTGTGACCATTTATGCCATAATACATAATTTTCTGTAGGTAACCTGTAAGAAGTTTTTAAATTAAACAGCATCAAAACAGTTAGGTTAAATCTTTCGTTTCAAACCAAAAAACTAATTTAGTTTTCCCTTTGTGTAAGCTGATTTCAAATCTTTGACCATAAAAAGCATTGCAAATTGTTGGACCATGTCCATGATAAAAAAAAAAAAAAAAGATTTATAACCAGATCTAAATACTATCTAGCAGATAAAATAATATGTATGACATTGTTAAAGACACTTGAAATATCTGGACTTTACTGAACAGTAATATGCAAAGGAAGTATTTTTTCTCCTCCTATGAAATGTTTTCTGTAAGTGAATTCAGTTTGCTAAACTTCAATGAAGAATATTTATCATATATTTCTTATTAACATGGGGATCTAAACGCTGAATTTGTTAAGGAAGAGTAGTTTGCACAAGTGATCCACGATCTTCAATATTTTTGCAAAAAGTCTCTGCAAAATTGGTCAGTTATGTTACTGTGCTAAATCTTTGAGGGAGAGATACAAATCGAGGAGTGATATTAATGTTGCCCTGCTGCTCTTAAATGCCATGCCTCTAGAGACCTAGGAATGGTTTGGTAATCCATTAATCCCTGGACGACCTAGAATGGGAGGTTTTCTATTACAACAAAAACGTAACATGGTTACCAAATGATATCTGACCTTCTCTTCTTGCTCCTATCAAACTTTCTGTTTGGATATTTAAAAAAAAAAAAATTAAACATTTTGAGTATTTATTTAGTATTTTTAGTATTTAAAGTTGTATCAAAGTCATTCAGGGTGACACTGAGGAATGAACAGTAGTATCATCCATTTACTGCTCCTGGATAATCTAGGGGGCAAAAGTCTCAGAATTCAGTCACAAAAATTTGTTTCTATACTTCTTGCAACTTCCAGACAATCTCAGAACTGACATCTAAGCTTGCACATGTAGAAGAAAGATACTTAGGTTTTATTTCAAAAAGGTACTTGAATTCAGGTGCATATTAACAAATATACATTTCCTCACAAATTCCTCACAAATTCACCAAAAATGGGTTTTTGTACATGAGTGGTTGAATATTTTCACATCAAAGTTGAAATTTGCACACAGACATAAATCTCTTGTGGAATAAATCCACACTGTGCAGTGATCAAAGCAGGGGTTCTGTAAAAATGGAAATTACACGCTTCAATCTGCCTTCAGATTGCAGTTGAATTTTTTCTGTGCTTCCAATCCAACCCTTAAGCTCCAGACTGTTGTCAGTCTGTTTTGTAGTTAATGAAACTGAAGAATAACTACAAGCACCGTTGCTCTTTCCCTATTGCATTTGGTACAAACGTTTCTGGGGACAGCACCAGCAGCTTCATCCTATCCTGAATATGAAGTGACAGTTTCAACACCAGACTGAAATACCAGTGATGACTTCTTAATAGTCTCCAGATATGCAAAATGCTTTGTGTTGACTTTCTTTTTCAAAGAAAAGTGGCAAAATAATTTAAAAACCATTTGTGGTAAAAGATTTCATGACCACAAGAGCAGTAGTATTAAAGTTTAGTAATACACTAAAAATTCTGTGTATTCTGATAGCTTAATTGTTTTGATTATTTCAGTGAGATAGAATAGCCTGTCTCAATGACAATAATTTCTAAATAGAGTACAAGTTTTAACAGAATGTGTAAAAATACTTAAAAGGGGTTATTTTCATTTACTTTAAGTACACTACCAGATTTACTAATGAACATGTGGAATCTCATGTTTGAACAGGAAAAGGGTTGTATGATGCTGAGAAAATTCTGACAAAACTCTTAATATGAACTTATTCTTTTGAAGTCAATGTGATTAAATAAGTATTGATTATTCCTGGGAAACACTGACTTTAGAGGCATAGAAATAAGTGGCCAGAATACATTAGAATTTTATACTGTGATGTGGACTGCAACCTTGACTTAGATTGATCAATAATTAGATGGAAGATTTTGTGAGTGGATTTCATCATTTGGTGAGGGTGGATGTTTGATTTGTTCTTTGTCACTGAGAAACTGAAACTTGTAGACAATACTGATACAGGCAGTATCAACAGTTTAATGTTAGTTTCAAATAAGCTGAAAACCATGCAGTAAGATCATGATAATTACAATGTGGGAAGGAGGTATTGATTCACCCAGGAAAAAAGTCTTTGCAGATATTTTATTGCTGTCTTAGAAAACATTCTGTGATCATTATTCAAAGGTAAATTTTATTTCAGAAAGATCTTTCATAAAATTTAAAAAACCTCAACAGAATATCCACAAAGTAGAGGACAGTTATTATTAAAAAAAAAAAGTATGCTTTCTTCCCTTTTGACTATCAAGGCTATTGTCCATTTTCAAGTGTTTATGAACTCTATGCCTTGGCAGTTTATAAAATTTTGGAAAAGAAAATCTCCTCTAGTATTTCAGATTAAAAGTGCAAGTCCCAAGGAGTTGGAGTCGCATGTGCCTGTTCCAAGATGAGTAAGATAGAAATTTTGTTTTTTTAAATAATACAGATCCAAAGGATAACAGTTGTATACCAGATTTTTTTTTTTATTTTTTTAATTTTTTTTCGTAAGATAGAAGACCAAAGAACAAGTAGATCCTCTTACTAACAAATCAAGTGAGTTTGGCTCCATCTGTTGCTCCTAGATTTCACAGCTCTCCAGGATTCCCACTTTAGCCTTTTTTACTTCAGTGACATATAGTTTGTTAAGCAACTTGATCTGCTTTTGATCTCTCCTGGCTGTCAGCAACGTTCCTTGATGCAGTCATGCCAAGCAATGACTTCTGTTCCTATGTCATTCCACAGAAGAAACTTTAGTACTTGCCACATGACTTAAATCAACTCACCATGTAGAGAAAATTGGGCATCCAGGGTCACAGGAGCAGTGTGTGGCACTCACTGATTAGGACCTCTGTTATATAACTATTAGTATCAGTATGTTTTTCTAGACACTTCAGAGTGCTCCAGGTAGAGCAGAAAGTTGTGGAAAACGTGTATTAAATCAATTAAGATTCTAACCCTCTTTGCTCTGACACTCTCTTAAGGTACAATTTTGGTTTAGGAAAATGCTGGATTTGTGGCCCAAATCCACGATGGATGTGGATGAAATTCTTCCAGACGTATTTGGTTTAGGAAAGAACTAGAACACTAAAATGACATTAAGAGTTATGGAATTATGGCAAGCTAAAAATGTTTAGAAGCTATTCTTTGGCTACACATTAGCATTCTAGCCTTACAACATTAAGTTTATTCTTGCTAATCAGAAACTAATTCATCATTTGTCACTTATTGCAAAACTTTCACTGAAGCTCGGCTAAAAGGGAATTAGAAACAATGTCAGGCCAAAAGTAAATCTGACTAGAAGAAGAGATTAATAGTACAATGAAATGCAGATTGCTATGAAATAGAGTTGAATTCAGTGCTTGTTTATATGTCATAATGTCATATTTAATATATTTAATTGGAAACTAACTACAAGCAATAATTATCATAATTAAACATTATTTTTGTAGTGATGCTTTCTTTTCCTCCTCTGAGTGTTTACAGCTCATTGAATATTCTCCATCCAAAAGCAGCTAGGCTGTGTGGCCCAGTACATCTCCCTGATTTGGAATAAATGTGACTGAGAATGTTTATAAAGTGTCAAGCATTTGCAGAACACTTTGTATTTTAAAGTATGTCCATGAAAAACCCCGGAGTATCTTGGAAAAATACATATTGCCTATTTTTTTCAGTGCTTCTTATGGTCACTGAAAGTTACCTATTCAGTTTGGACCTGCTAGTTGTAGAGCTATTTAGGTGCTCTTGTGTTTAACACCTGCTGTGTGAATAAGAGAATGGGAAGTACCATCTTGTGGTATAAAAAGGTTTTCAAAGGTTGTGTTTGGGATGGTGTCAATGTGCAATTGAGAGAGTTTGGACAGCAACAGGCTTGCTAGTCATTCCTCTTGCCTCAGTAAATGTTATCCTCAATACCTAGAAAGAGTTCCCAACCCTGAGAGTTCAGCTGAGCTGTAGTTTGAGATGGAATTTTCCTCTTCATGGTCAAATCTGTGTCTAGGGTGCAGGGATTAATTTGCAAAATAAGATTGCATCCCATATTAGTTCTCTAATAAGTAATGTTAATGCTTTCAGACTAAAATAAAAAAAAAATGTAGGATTCTATTTCCCCCTCTCACACACACACGTATCCTTGTACCTTTTCATATTCTCAAGTCTGTATTCCATCACAGTTCTCATTATGGATCTAAGACTTTGGCAACTTCTTGGTGAGAAGTAAGAGTGATATTAATTGCAACTTCAATTAACACACTTGAGCAGCCTTAAGCCATTTAGGGCCCCACTTCAAGTGGAAGAAATTGAAGGAACTGATCTTCTAAATTTGACTGTCCTCTCCTAAAGGAGGAGAGGGGAAATCTAAGGATAGACAGATTTTCCAGTTAAGGAAAGGCCTTGAGCCTAATCTGGTGATCTGTCTTTTAAAAAACTGAAGGTTGTTGAAATGAAGTGTATCCTAAGAGATTTCCCAGAAAGTTTTTTTAATGTGCTTATACACTGATATTTTAAGTTTCAAGAGAAGGTGGAGCTGGAGTAGAGACAATTGAAATGAGAAAAAACTGTAGTCTTTGGAGTTTGAATTCATTGCATCATCAAAAACTTTCTGTTCTAAGACAATTTGAAATATTTGTGGTTTTGTCATTCTCTGTCAATAGTTTTGCTACAAATGTGAATAAAGATATTTCCCAATTATAAAATAGATCCTTTTTCTTGTATGATCCATATTCTGATGAAAAAATTCATTCAGTCTTCTATAAAAAAAATGCCAAATCACTCAAGCAAAATAATATAGCAACAGTAGTGGTTTGGGTCAGTCCTCCAGTTATCTCTACCACCTACCTTTACAGAAAGAGGTATTATTTTAACCAAATTAAATCTTTACATTTGCCTTCTTATTAACAACTGTACAACCACAAGTTCCATCTGCTTATTCTGTTATCACTGAAAGGGTTAATTGGTGCAGCTATGCCGCATGCAGATTCCTAAACCTAAACCAGATGTAAACTAAAGCCAGGCTTTCAGTCAATCTGTGAGTCATATTTTACTGTCCTTAAAACTCCAAACAAGGAGCTGTCTATGGAAGCCCTTGAAGACTCAGCAGTTCTTAGTGTAAGTCATTACAATTCCAAAAAAAATAAATAAAAGAAAATTAAGAGCTCTTTCTGTATTTGTGGCTGGATTCATCAGAGTTTGTCTTTTGATGAGGCCAGCATTGTTTCCTTTAGATAAAGTCTAAACTTTCTTTTAAAGTCACAGGTTGCAGTTGTAAGAAATCCAGAAAGCACTGAGGAAGTTGAGAAAGTACTGATAAAGTTGTTCTATAGTTTTCAGACAAGTAGGACACAGGCGCATCTCCTGTGGAAGTCTGAGTACTCAGAACCTTAGAAAAATTAAGGACATAATTTCAAAGCTTCCATAAAAGCTTAAATACAAATAGTCTAGCAAGTCTCAATTAAAGGTGTGCTCTTAAGTATCTTAAACTATCTTGAAAATCCACCTGACTTCTAGAAGACTTCTATAGATAAGTATGCAGTTTCTGAATTAGTTAACAGCAGCGTAATGGACCTGTTAATTACTCATCCAAGATAATTTATTAGTCTGCTTGGTTGTTTGTGGTTTTTTTGGGGTTTTTTTTTGGGGTTTTTTTTGTTTGTTTGGTTGGGTTTTTTTTTGTTTTTAGTTTGTTTTTTTGTTTTTTTTTTTTTTTAATGGGTTGGGTTTTTTATTGTTTGGGGTTTGGGGTTTTTGTTTGTTTGCTTTTATTTTTCATTTAATTTTTATATTTTGGGGGTTTGAAAAGAAAACTCCTGTTGCCCATTGTTATCCTTGCCAAAGAAAATGCAGTAAGCCTGAGGAGCAGCTGGTCATCTGCTCACCCATTTTGTTCAAATAGAAATCTTTTATGTTTAGAAGAGATTTGTGCTTCCAGGGGCTAAAATTTAGCATCCAACAGAACCAGCTGGAAAATGTGCATTAGACAGATAGATATTATGAATGTTGAAAACTTTTTTTTTTCCTCCTTTTCAGAAAGGTAAAGTAACTGTTTCTGATAATGAGACTGAGTGCATTTTACATCACTTAACAGAATCACTTACTGAACATGCTAGTGCAAAGCACAGATTGTTTTGTCGCTTTCCTTTTCCATATAGATGTCTCTTAAATTATATTGGCTGTTGTGAAACTTTATATGTTTTTAGTAAATTGACCTGAAATAAAAATAAAACAAAAATATAGGATGAGCAAACTAACATAATAGCTTGAAAAAATGCAATTAATTGTATTTTAACACTGAAATAGAGAATGAGATGAATTCTTGAGATACTGGATACAGCTGAAATCGCAATTTGTTTAAATCTCTAAATTGGTTTTCAGCACAGAATCTCACATCAATTGCCAGATCAGGAGCATTTGAGACACCTGTGTATGTATGGGCAAAAAAGCTACCAGTTTGAATTGCCCACAAGAATCTGTTTTGACTGATTCTCTGAAAAATGGAGTACAGTTCTCTCTCCGCAATTCAGTCTTGAGAGGAGATGAAATTAGATGTACTATCCCTTTCCATTGTTTATCTATTGCTTATAGGTTAAAATTGATTTAGAGAGTTGGAGAAAAGGTTGCTCTGCCCTTAGCAACATCTCTTTAGGATTTGAGATCTTTGGAAGGTCTGAAGTGCATAATTTGGGATTTGAGGATACTAAACCTTAACCTTGCTTCAAAGCAACAAAAAAGTATCTTTATTCCTGTTTGGACAATTCAGTCTTGTGACATCAGTTTCTGCCTAGTGCTTGGCTTTTGTGGCTGCCTATATGAGTCTCTTTTGTGTTGCCTTGAATATCTTTCAATTCCTTCAATGTAAGAAAATTTAAAATCTGATTGAATCTTAACTTAGACAAAGTTTTTCAATTGTGTACACATCTGCTCAAGTGAGAGAATAACTAAACATGAGAATAGGGAGCGTAAGATCAAGTTTAGAGTCAGTTAAGAATAATCAGACAAGCTTTTGCTTTAGACAAAACTTTTACAAAGCCATCACAGCAGATTCCCTTTGCCAGTCTATTCCTTTGATATATTTAGCTGAGAAGCTTCATGGAGATAAATATGTTTGAGCATGAAGCTGAGGATAAAAAATACTCAATTTAGAAAGCTGTTTGTATTCTCATATACCTTTTCTTCCCCCTATATTTTTTTCTCCATGTTGCTTAGAAGTTATTAAATACCCTTCTGACGCAAGCATTTACTCATTATCTTACTTCTTCATTTGGGAAGAAATACTGGGAACTGGTGTTTTGTACTACTTTCATCAAAATCAACACTAATTTCTTCAGTTACAATGAGGAATAACAATGGCTCATATGAATAGTGGGGCTTTATATTCTAGTGACAACTTATGGAAAATAATAAGTGAGTGCTGTATCCAACAGGTTGAGCAGGGAGACTTCAATTCCAGTCTTGGTGATGTGAAGAATTGAGAAACTTAGGAAGTGCTTACAGGCCTATTAATTCTTTAATGAAGAAAACAACTGATGGACTAATTTGTTTTAACCATCATAATAATTATTAATATGGTAATAATGACTGGATTTTTTTAATTTTTGAAGTCTGGATTCAACATACAGTATTTTACTCTCTCTACAGCAAGAGAAAGGGACTGTTTTCCCTGTGATTTCTTTTTGATTTTAAATTATTTATACAGTGTTTGCAATTCAGGAAAAAGGTAAAAAATGGGCCTGAACTGTTGTTCTTCTGAACATCATTGATTTTAGTCTTTTCACAGAGGGCGGGTTGTGAGCAGAAAAGAACAAAAATTAGTCCACCAAAAACTGGACAAACAAAGCTATCAGTAAATGCACACCCTTTCCCACACCACACACATGTGCACAAACAAATCAACTACGGGAGAGTTTCCAGTATCTGAACAGTTAAGTAAGAGACATTTTATTTTGACAATCAATATTACATATTTTGTTGAAATGGGTACAGGTTAAGATTTTTGGTGGGTATGAGTGTTCATAATATACTTCTCTTCCACTGGCTGAGAGATCAGGGGTTCAACTAAGCTGCAGCCATTCAAGAGTATAATGCTGTACTGCTCTGAAAAGTATTTAATCCATATTCTTGAAAAAGGTATGGAATTTCGATGATATTAAATGTTATGGTAGGTTTTATCACCTCTTTCAGTTCTGACACTTATTTCTGCATAAGAGAAAAGAATAATCCAAATTCTATATATTGCCATCAGAACATCTCCCTTTGCATAATAGGGCGTAGGTCCTCCATTTCTTCTTCTATCATATGTTGTAAGAAAATCCATGCTCATTTGGATCACTTCCTCTATTTCACATGTGTTGACTAATATTTGTTTAAAAACTACAGGCTTTCTATTATAGAATTATGTATTATATGACTATATGGAGGGTTAGTTTTTTTTAAATTTTTTATATTGCTTCATAAGTAGATTACCTAAATAGACATATTGATGGTTATCTTTCCCTTAAAAGTCGGTTGCAATTATTTCTATTTTTCTCTAGGCTTAAAAAAAGAATAATTAAAATTTAATTGTTATTATCACCCTGGTTTTACTCCACTTGTGTGGAGTTACCAGTTATTTAAATCAGTCTGCTTTTCAGTATATGTGCATTTTAAATATTAGGATAGTGCTTTCTGCTATCTCAAAATATTTTTTAAAACTTTAACAAGTTCCCTGTCTTTAAAGACACAGTAAAAATTCTTTTTTCCTTAGAAAACCTGGAGGGTAAGCAAAGAAATGCATGTTTTGGAATGTGTGCCCTAGAACTGGAAATTCTGAGACAGAATGAAGCAGGATTCATTTTTGTTGAATGATAGGAGCTTATCACAGCCTAAAAAGATTTCCCTTATGGTGGAAATTGGAGTTTAACATTCATCTGAAATAATAGTCTTGGGTCTTCACTTAACCCAAATTAAGTTAGCTTGGATAGTTGGTGGAAGTGTAATGGTGCCACCTTACCCAAAAGTAATCTTTGTGTCAGAGCTGTTTTAGGCTCCAGATTCTCTGTCTTGATTTTCAGTCCAATAAGAAGCAAGCTGTTCTTCTTCAAGTTCTCTCACAGAGTTCAAGCCATGAGTACTCCTAAAATCTTTCACTTTAGACCTTTTGCTCTATTACTTTTGACCAATGCAGAACTCTTTACCACATCTGTGCTTTTATCAAGTATCAAGTCCTCATCTGGCTTAATTTCCTAAATTAAGGTAATTCCTACTATTTGGTGCAGGTTTTGCATCTGAACCTTGTTTTGATTCAGGCACTATTACTGGGGGCAGGTATATCAATACAGCCTGGAATCTGAGTTTTGAATTTTGTTCCCATACAGTTCTGCTCCTTAAATTTGTCTTTCTCCTTCAAAACAATTGAATACTTCTGTTAATTTTTGCTACCACTTATTTAAACTCACACACTGGCCACAAATTATCTGCATATAAAAATATTTTCCTGGGAACATGACTGTTCCTGACTCTATTATCGTAGTGTTTGTACTTGTAGTGTGTTTGATGCACATATTCCAGCGGTTTCACTGGATATGAATTAAAGTGTCTTTTATTACAGTATGCAGATCCATGCTATGATGTGTCATCCTAAACTAATCTGTTACTCCAATTTCAGCATGTGAGACAGAAGCAGCAAAAGTTTATCAGCTATCACTAGAAGAGCACCTACAGCCCTTCAAAGACAACATGGAGCAATTCATTAGTCAAGGTAAATAATGAAACGTCACTTAACCTTTTCATGACATTTCAAAGGAAAGTTATGGGAACAATGTTTATACGTTGTGGGGAAGGGACTGTTTATTTTGGCATCATAGAAAGACATGGATTAGTTTGATCCGATGCCACACAGTTCTAACGGATTTGCAAAGTTATTCTCTTGTACTGTAGGTGACTCACTGTCTTTTGCATGACAGCAAAGACAAATGCTATTGGCTTGAGTGTGTGATCTTCTAAGTTCAGCATTCCAGTAGAAAACACATTTTACAGCCTTTGTTCCTTGAAAAATTATTGAAGCTGGATTTGTTTCATTAACTTCATTCCAATGAGATAATTCTTTTGTATGCACCAAAAACATGAAATAAGCATAACAAAAGTAGTTAAAGGTTTTTCAGATGTACTGCAAATCCATATTAAATATTTGGATGTGATTAATGAGTAACACTGCAATAAAAAATATATTACAAATATCCAGGATCAACTGGCATCCTGAGTATTAGTAGAAAAACTTTTTTAATGAATAGACTATGGTTTACTAGACCTTTCTTTGACAAGATTACAGGAAATAGGAATAATTTTAGGTTTTCACACGTGTATGTCAGAGCATCTCTTGAAATTCTACTCTACATTGACCAGTTTGCTTTTTAATACAAGTCAGAATTCAATGTATCAGGTTAAAATACCCTGATGAGTACACGAACATAGTTTTAACATTTTGCTGCTCGTTCTGCTTTAAAATTTCCTCTTATAATCGAGGAGCTGTTTTCTCCTGAACAGGCCTTATGTGAGAATTCTGTTTCTAGTGCTGATTCACCAATTCATTAATCTAGAGCTACCATATGTGCTTTGTATTTGAGAGGCTTGTCAGATATGCTTGTATGTCTTCCCGGTTAGAGTATCCAAGATGACTATCTATCCAAATGTTCTAAGTGGGATACCTATGGAATCACAGAATGGTTTGGGTTAGACTGAACCAGGCTGCACATGTGCTGATGCATGCTACAGGACTCTCAATTACAGGGAATAATTTGAGCACACCCAGTATTTTTAATCATCAAATATGGACTGGTGTTTTCTGAGACAAGTGTGTACTTAGCCAAGCCTGGCAAACAGGATGTTGTCTCCAGCACTAGTAGGTATGAACAAATTCTAAACTGAATTCTGGTTATATATATATATATGGCATACAAATATTTCAGTAGTGGTATGACTGAACATGTAGCAAGTGTTTTGCATTAGGTTTATATTGTAGTTTTTATGTATAGATAGGGGACATTCAAATCACAAGTTTGTCTGTAAGAAATCGCTGTTGGCATACTGTGAACCATGTCATTTTAACCTTATTAACAGAGTAGGAAATCAAACATGGGGATTATCCCTGGATGTGTTTAAGGACAGGTTGGATGGAGTTTTGAGCAACCTGGTCTAGTGAAAGGTGTCCCTGACTATGGTGGGGGGGGTTGGAACTAGATGGTCTTTAAGGTCCCTTCCAACCCAAACCATTCCATGATTATATGATTCTGTTTCAGCAGACAGTAAAATGTGTTAAAATTGTGTTTTTTTCTTTTAGAAACCATATTTTCTAAAGTATCTAACTTTATACTTATGCTCTTTTATGATTTCTGGCTATACTTTCCAGAATATAATTTTATATATGCTGTATAGTGATATGGTTTTGCAAGGATATGCAATTTCCTTTGTGATTACATGTCTGTACTTTTGGAGAGTGAGGAAAAAGAAAAGAAAAAAGGATATCCATCACATCCATTAAGAGGTTTGCTGTGTTCTCATATTAATAGTGTATATTGTTGGATGGTTAACAAAAGGAGAAACCTGTAATGTCAGTAAAAATATCACTGTCTCATTTTTTATGAAAATAATTGGAAATGTGTATTGTGAACACAGTAAAGTGTGACTAAACCATTTCTACATTTTCTTTTTAAACCGTAGGGCCTATTATGCAGAATTCTGTCCTAATGTAAGAAAGACAAAGGCTAACATATAGCAAGAAAGAATCCCTGGTTAAGTTCCAAAAATAAAGTAATTTAAATACCTTTCATTATGAAATCCTTTGTTTTTACTTCATGGGATTGAATTCCGACTTGAAAGAGGCCATGTTTAAAGCAGGATTTCTCTTTCCTGTTCAGTGTTTGACAGGCTTTTGATCTAGATATTTTTTCTAGGGGCTTTTGTTGTTTGTGTAGACATAATCGATGAGTCTTTTCAGCTAGACTGCACACGTGATCATTTAGAAAAACAGAGGGACAATTCTTGGCACCTTTTGGAGATTTTTGTTTATATAACATATGCTCTGGGCAAAGAAAAATCAAGCTTTACATTTTTATCTTTTCAAGTTCCAGTTTCTCTAAAGTCAGAAAAAGTTTTAACTTATAATTCAGATGAAAAGCATTTTTCATAAGGTTGAATTATTTGGCATGTTTATGTGATGCCTTTTCAGAGTAGATAACTTGTGTGCATAATGGGACCCAAAAGTTCAAAGGAGCTAGTTACTTACAGCATAGTCACTTATACATGTTGCAAGCAGCTAAAATGGAAAATGGTTTTCCCATAAGCAAGAAAACTTGGATACCAAATTAAATATCCTTGGCAAGGGGTTAGAAAGGCTATGCTTTATAAGAATAGTTACTGTCACACAGCTAGATAACTTTGAGTTATGTTACTGCAGCTAGTCTAGCTGATTGTTGCTAATGATGTATTAATAAAAAATAGTTTTTTAATGTTAACACTTTTATTAGGTTCATCAGAGACAAAACAAGGTTGAACATCACTAGCTTAATTGTAAAGATGGTTTCATTTGAAAGCTAAAGAAGGGAAAGAGGCAAGAATATGTTCAGAATAATGAAATTTTTAGATGGAAATGGTAGTGGTACGCATGATGAAGGCTGTTCAGTATTTGCCTTGCTATCCAAGTCAGTAGGCTAAACAACCAGCATGTGCATTAAAGTATGCAAATTAGTGACAGGATGCCAGTCTTTTCTTGAGGGACTTCATGATCATTCTTAAAGTGATCAATATACTTAGCAGAAAGTTAAATTACCTGTGCTCTCCTTCCTAAATTGCCTTAGTAGATATTGGATGATTTACTGTATTTTTGAGGGTCTGTGTGCTTCAAAACCTTCAACAAAATCCTTTCTCTTCTTCCATGTTTTCTCCTCCTTGTTTTCTTTTCATGTCCTCTTTTTGAGTCCACATACTGCAATCATCAAATGTATGATTTGTTTCTCTTGTTCTTACAAATGTCAATTTTTTTTCTGAACTTCTCCTTAGCCATATGGTTTAAAAAGGGAAAAATAAAAAAAAAAGTGGAAAATCTGCTTCAAAAAAGGATATTGAAGAAAAGTAGTCAGAAAATACAAAATTTTTCAAATTTTTTTTCTTATTTAGATTTTTATTACCATTTTCCTAAGCATTTCCAATAAGTAGTATATAACTGTGAACTTTAGTAAAACAATTGTCCTTTTCCAATGAAAATTTATTCATACCAAACAGTAGGAATTTGAAATTTGCAAGTCCCCAGTATAACACATATAGGCACATTTTCTGTCTTTGAGTTATTCCTCACAAGTTATCCCAATTTGAATGAGAGAGATTGAAAGCAAAGTGCTGTTCAGGAACCTTGTTTCCATTGTTCTGTGTGTAGTGTGGGTAGATAGGGATGCAAATACATGAGAGATCACATCCACCAGTTTAGAAAGTTTCAGAAATCACTTCTTTTCCTGGTGAAAATGAGTCTGACATGAAACAGTGGGGAAATGCTGAGGGTACTAATTTTCATGCAGTTTGTAGAGGAATTTCATTAGCAGTTTGTAATCCTTTAGCCTTGTCCCCACTGGACAGGTTAGCCAGCTCAAACTGAAAGAATTGTGTGTGTATGACTCACAAATGTTTCCTAGTCCCCAGGTTTTTAACTGTGGTTAACTTGGCAGTGAAAAGAAGTCTCTGGGTGTCTGCTGTTGAGGTGCTGTCTAGGCTGTGCATTCTTGTCAGCTTGATAAAGAAGGAAACTTACAGCAGGAGGTAGCAACCATCACTCCCTCAGAATAGCAATTCCTTTTTGGGAAGTGGGAAGATTCAGTATTTTGAAATGACAGCTTTTCCAGTGAGATTCTATAAATGGTGAAAATGTTGCAGACTTCGAATCTGAGCAAATCATCCTACATCGTATTAAGAAGCCAAGCCAATATAATTAGTTTTAGACCTTAGAAAAAGCATTATGCCATGGGAGAAGTACAAGCATTGTTTGCAGAAGTAAAAACAAAAATTTCTGATGTTTGGCTAGTCCATTTAAAAGCAATTAGAATTCTTCCAGTGTGATTTTAAGTTTTGGACCACAGGGTAACCATTCAGTCTGTGGTTCCTTCTAGTCTTGATTTGCAAAACTGCAGTTCTGCTATTGTGAGTGAATACAAGCACCAGGTTTTGTTCTGCTGGACCCAAGAATATAGACTCTTCTCCAGACCTTAATTCTAGTCACATCCTCATGATCTTACAGAACAAAGATGCTCAAAATTGGCCTGTTGGTTGAGCTGTCTGTAACTATCTCCTTCTTTTGCCTGGAAGACCATTGAGGAACCCAGTTTCCAAACTGTTAGTAAAGGAATGTATAAATCACAATGAGTTCCATTTATCGCTGTAGCTGCAACCAGATATTCGGTCATGACTTGTTCTTTTAGGTCAAGTAGCAAAAGGCTGTGCATCATCAAATGATGGATTGTGAATGAGAGTAAAGCATCAGACTGAATCTTGGATGTCTGGGTTAAGTTCCTGGCTCCAGAAATACTGTAGATGATTGCAAAATGAGTGCTGCTAGGGTGATCTTAATTCTGGCCTTTTCTAACCCAGAATGATTGATTTTGCAGATTCCATTTTCTTTAAATATTGTTTTTATAATTTGATAAATATAAAGGAGAACATAGCAGTAGTTCATAATTTTTCTAAAAATAATTTGAGGAAAATATGACTGAAACATGA